TGACTGAAAAGCATAATGGAATAGTGAAAGATCACTGCTTTTGGAACCAGAAGAGTTGTGTTTTGAGTCCTGGTTCTACAACATGTTAGCTTCATGGTCTTGAGAAAATTATTTAATATTTGTAAACATTTCTTTCTTTAGTTACAAAAACCAAGATTTGTAATATATTGTAGCTTTTTAAATTAATAATCAAACAAGATAACATATGAAAATGTTTTATGAATTCTAAAACTCTATACTAATTTGAGCTATCTTCTGTTAAATATAGCAAACATCCAGAAAGTAAAGCAAAGTGAGTATCAGGTAACACTTTGAATTTCCATTTCTCTTGCCAGAATAGAAAACATTAAGAAAAACTACACAGAATATTCCTACCTTAGTATATACAAAAATTGTTACATTGCTGTGGTATTCTCATGTCATCTATTTAATATAGTTGCAATTTTTAACCATTTTTACTATTTCTTGTGAGTTCATTCTTCTTGTTAGTTCATTCTGCATTCATCCATCTTTCTGTCCAGCCACTTAACAAATTTCCTGGCATATTATAGGGACTTATCTGTTCTGACTCTTTACTGGATTATGAATCCGTTGAATGTAAAATAGGCCATTGTCCTTAAAGAACTTGCATTTCCAGTTTCGTGTGAGGAACACACTAAAAAGTATAATTTTATACTGCAGTAAGGTCTATAATACTACAGTTACAGCAGTGGGGAAGAGGGGATGATTCTTCTGTTTTGATAGTTCAGGGAAGAACTCCAAAGACTCTGACATTTAAGTTAAGCCTCAAAGGCTAACTAGGAGTTTGCCAGGCAGATGGAGCCTGTGGTAGCCACTCTGTTTGTAAAATATGTAAAATGCCAGATGTCCTTGGCTGTAACATAGACATTTAAAAATGTTCGTCCTTTTCTTTTCTTTTCAAAGGAAGAAAATGGTAAACAAGCAATTTATTTTCTACACGTTTGAATGAGCATGTGAATGTTTTTCTCATAACTTGACTGGCTTATGTTGATGCAAAGATATTCCTTGCTTTAATATTTGAAGACAGTGCTGCTAAAATTTTTGTCAACATCTTATGTTTTATCACTGTGGGTATAAATGGCTAACACTTCATTTTCCAAGCATCCTTGACAACAACGGTTTTATTGCAGTATCCTAAATTTGCGGATATTATGATAATATTTCTTTTAGGAATGATACTTTGCATGCTTGGACATTCTAAAATTCTGTAGAGAACCAGAAAGAACTAAAATTAAAACTAAAATCAGAGATAAATATTAGTTGTAATATGTAGTTTATTACCAGGAGAAATCAATATGTTACAAACCCTAAGTCAGTTTATATTCAATTTAGAATAATTGGGGGATAATATGAAATAATTGTCAATTCTCTTGCGTGTGTATTTTTCAGAAATGTGTTAATCTCTTA